GTACATCAAAGACACTGTTGCTGTATCAAACAAAAATGAAAAAAAAAATCGGACGAGTAAAAAAAAAAACACGTGGGAATGATCCAATAAAAGGTCACCTACATATGATGATAATGCGTAATATGTAGATAAGAGAGAGAGAGAGAGGAATATCAAATATATCGCAATTATAACACGCAATCCCATATCGAAAAAGATCTACCCATTCCACATATGATCTACCCATACGTAAAAGAGGGGGGGGGGGCATTGAAAAACGAAAAAAATATTTAAATAGTTCATTTTATATATGTTTTTTATTTGTAGGGTGGGGAAAAAAAGAAGATGGCATTTCAATGTCCTTACTGTTCCAGAAGTTTTGAGAATGATGCAGCGTATCGCTTTCATAAATATACCCATGAAAGAATCGAGGAATTAAATTTACTTATTCCAGCTAAATTGAAATAAAGCAATGCAAAACAACCCACAGATTCTCAGCTTATTGAAAAATGCAGATGGTGTAGGGCCGAATTTCGTGATAATGAAGAATTGTTTCGATTTCACGAAGAACTACATCAAACAGGAGAATGGTCCAGTGAGTCTCTTGGATATTCATTTACCAAATTAAATGAGAAAACTTTCAAGAAAAATAAAGCCATTGATCGACATTACGTCGTCAAATTGAATTCAGAGTTCGCACAAGTAGTGGTATATATGGTGCTCTACAACACACTTTATAATTGATAGTAAGATCCGCCCACTTTACTATATATTCTTACCAATTATGCTAATAAGATGAAAGGCTTTCTCTATATATTTGTTCCAAAGGCTTATGGAGACTCCACCCACTCGGAAGGCTTACTCTATGTATTTACACCAAAGGCTTATAGGAGACTCTGCCCTCTCTGAAGGCTTACTCTATATAGTTATACTAAAACCTTCTGAGTGGGCGGACACTACTGTGAGACTTTGGTATAATATATAAAGTAAGCCTTCCGAGTGGGCGGATCGAGTCTCCGTAAGTCTTTGGTATATATAGAATAAGCCTTCCGAGCTTTCTCTATATATTTATACCAAAGGCTTATGGAGACTCCACCCACTTGGAAGGCTTACTGCTTTCTCTATACATTTATACCAAAGGCTCACAATATTCTCCACCCACTCAGAAGGCTTTCTCTATGTATTTATACCAAAGGCTTATAGGAGACTCCACCCTCTCGGAAGGCTTATCCTGGTCTTACTCTATATAGTTATACCAAAGGCTCATGGTAGTATCCACCCACTAATGCATACGTATACCAGAGTCTTATCAATTATTCTAATGAGATGAAAGGCTTTCTCTATACATATATACCAAAGGCTTACAATACTCTCCACCCACTCAAAGGCTTTCTCTATATATTTATACCAAAGGCTTATAGGAGACTCCAGCCTCTCTGAAGGATTATCTATATAGTTATACGAAAGGCTCATGGCAGTCTTCACCCATATCTATATATTATACCAAAATCTTATAGGAGACTTTCAATATATTTTATATTTATGAATGAAGATTACACATTACTTACAAAGATAATTCTTAGCAAATTTCCAAGATCAGATATCTCAAGCGCATAGAATAAATCAAAAATATATTGCATTTGACAGCGTATTTTACATATTTTTTTTTAACTATGGAATACTATGCAAAGAATGATAACTCTGAGAAATATTCAAGAGCAGATAACTCTATTCACCTTAAAAAAAATCAAACAAAATAATAAATGGTATATATTTTATATATAATTTGCATATTACTATATATTTACCGAGATGGAAAATATATCCAAATTCAACATATTTATTATTTTTTTGAATTCTGAAAGTGATTGACCACTTTACTTTCTCACACAAAATAAAAAATCAAAGTCAGAACATTAACTCCTCATCCCAGTTTTCCCCGGAGGATATTTCAACTTCATTATAAGTTGGGAGAGAAGTGTTCCCCTTTTTCATACAAACGTTATCACAGTTTTTTTAAATATCTGAAACTAGTCCCAGAAAGTTTTTACTGTAAAAGGGTTCCAGTTCCTCATCCCAATTTTCACCATTACTAATATTGACATCCTCATATTTAGGAAGGGAGGTGTTGCCTTTTTTAGAACAGGTTAAATCCCTCTCCAACCAACCATCAAACCGCAAGTTGTTTTTTATTATTTCTAGCACATTTAATTAAGTGCCTGGACAGCCTTTCTTTCCTTATGACATGTCCTCACAGTATTTGTAATGGTCACTACCATCACCCCTTTTAAGTTTGTGCCTATGGTTAAACTCGCAGGAGGAAAAGTTTCTGGTCACAGTTTTATTATTTCTAGCACATTTAATTAAATGCCTGAACAGCCTTTCTTTCCTTATGACATGTGTTTTGTCATACGGACAAATAACATTTCATTACTAGAATTTCTGTAATAATCCATCCTTTTACAGCTATGTACCAATGTAAGACCTTTAGATTTTGATGCTTTTCAGAAGAAATTTTAGAAATTTTGTGAAAAATAAAATTTAAAATGTTTTCTTATATATTTTTTATAATGGCAATGTCTTATAAGTCAATGACTTTTCAAGGACAGAAAGATTCCAATACTTATTTTTTGAAATTTTAGAAAAATAGAATCGCAAAAGTCTTGCTCTATTTAATCTCTTTCTTATAATGCAAGCTATTGAAGCACAAAAGCATCCAAGGGATATTGCTGACAAGCAGGTAGATATAACTGAAAGCAAGAGAAAATATACTAGGTATCTATTGCATTTAACTCAAATTGTTCATAATATTTAGGATAATGTACATTGATCTGTTTCTTTTTTTATAGCAAAAAATTATAACAATTACTGATGCAAGAATAAAAGTGGTAGCCAGAACTGCAAAGATAACTGAAAGAAAAGAATTTACACAACTTCATCATATATATTATCACTGTCTGCCCGGGGCCGTAAATAACCTTCAGAATCAAATGAATCCAATGATATATGTGAACTTGATCCATTGTATATTGATCTCCCCAGAGACGGAATTTGTTTAATTTTTATATATAACATTCTCGAAATAATTAATGAAAAAAATATTGTAAAGAGTGATAGAAAAAAAGAAGAAATAGATAAATATTTACTTAGAAGAATGGTCAGTGTTGTCATCCCTTCTTCGTGTGGTTTGGTAGTCGTAGGTGGCTGAAATATTAAAAAAATCTATAGAAGGGTCTGGGATTAAATTAAAGTAAGTTAATATTTTATATAACATCAGTATCATCTTGTGTTGTGGATTCTACTCTTGAAAATAAATAAAAAATATTAAATTCAAATTTTGGGGTGGATAAAAGAAAAACTGTCGAGGGACCTAATTATGGGAAATGTTCACCTTGAAGTGCAGTTCGTGACAGCACTGAGCAAGACAGTTATGTATTGCTCCCAAACTATGACCAATGCTTTATTAATTTTTGCATCATGTACATAATATAATTTAATGTGTTTTAGAATACTCAACACCCTGCCACAGATCTCAAGATAAAATCCCAAGAAGTGAGCTTACAGGAGAATTATCAACCTCCACTCCCTTGGTAGATCCTCCTTGCAGAGATGGTGAAGTCTCCCGTAAATAAAATACCTTTTCTGTTGATCCAGTGGTTGGGAGATGCGATACCCTATCTGTTGATCCAGTGGTTGGGACTGGGAGATGACTGTGGCTGGCAAGAAGGGTGAAAGGAGTGGTCTTCTGTGAAAGAAACATAATAAATATGTAAATGTTGTTTTTTCTCAAGTTCACAACCTTTATATGGACGTTATAATCATTATGTTTTATTAATATTAAGGTATATTGTAAAAATAACTTCCTTTGAATTTTATCTTAAGTTATCTGAAAGCGTGTTGAGTAGTCTGAAACACATTAAATTATATTATGTGCATGATGCAAAAACGTAATAATACATTGCAGAAAAAATAATAATATTTATTAACCTCCACTCCCCTGGTAGATCCTCCATGGTTCTGAGTCATATCTGGCACTGCAGTAGTAAGATAGGGGGTAACCACCTATGAAATGAACAATAAAATATTCACAACATGCTTTTAATCATAAATGTATGCAAAGAGACACATCCCCCCTACAAGACTCTAAATTATTTATGATTTATAGTCAATACTCACACAAGAAGACGAAGGGTTAGCGATTTGAACTGAAAGAGTTCTTGGCGTTGTAATTTGAGTTGAAATTTCACCACACGTAAGATCTGTATTGTCAATATACATCAACTGCACTGACGTGCATGACAACTCTACACGATTGGTCGAATCGAAACGCGCAAATGTTAAAACAGTAACATCGTCTGACAGACATCCTGTGTACACTGTATTTGGAATCCATTCACAGGAACCGTCCCTGCATAATAATCCAAGCTGTTCCTTGGAGATACCTAACCCAAAGAAGAAAGTCAAAGAAATGCATGCTGCGCACAAAAAAAGAGACCACCGTGCCATTCTCTCTAACTTCTTGACGGGATTTGATAACGTTGTATTAATTTTTTTAGGATATCGATCCCGATATAAAAATTCTTACCAAATACCAAAAGCTTATTGTATTATGTATAAACGATAAGGTGTACATTTATTAACAGAGTTTTATGCTTTTCTGATACACCAGTAAAATAAAATATATGGTAATAAATAAGTAATTAAGGAAAGGATGACATATATGCTTTAATTGATATGCATTATTCATTTTAATTTAGAATATAAAGTAAAAAGTAATTTTTAAAAAAGTGAAAAAATTCTAACAATTGTTTTGTTTTGCAGAATGTACTTAAATTCGCAGGTAAGGTCACCCTTGGTGGATGAATAAAGATGCTGTTTTCAAGGTTCAAGAACATATTCTTTAAAATATTTTTTTAAAACAAAATTATTGTTGTTGATGCGAGTATACGATGAGATCTTTCACCCCATTGTCGATGTAAGAAAAGTAGCTTCATTGTGAGATTTTCTCAAGTCGTGATCAATGTATAAATCATATTGTTTACTTCAAAATAACCAAGTCAGCATCTTTAGAGGACAATGAATAAATTTTGCTGGTGGGGTGATAGTTAATACATAGGTTTCTCTACTGTCATCCAATTTTTTTTTAGTAAACAAATTAAAAAAAAACATTTTATATAATAAAATAAGTTTAGGGACATGTAAAATATATAAAAGGGGTACGTTTTCAACAATTTTCATTCTACGATCACATATGCGTATAAAAGTTTATTTCCAATCTTAAAATGTCGCAGTCTTTTGAAAGAGAAGATAAAAGTAATGGAACTACTCAGTTCGTTTTGAAAGAGAGTACCAGGTACCAGAGAGGACAATACGCCATCCAGCTCAGCTATTATAAGGGCAAAGTGTACCTACATCTTCAAGGTAAGCAAATTCAACTAAATTGAAGGAGTTGATTTTCTTTGGCGAGTTATTACACTCTGTCTGAAATTTTCTACAAGTTATCTTTCTTTGATCACTTGTAGACAACAACAATGGGCGACAAGTATCAATTCCGGATGATGTGTTTGAAACAATGAATAACCAGTTTTACACGATAAACAAGGCTGTGGAAGATGTTAGGAAAGCCAACGCTGGACCACCTAGCCCGGAACTGGTAAGTTGTTAATTCAATATCATAAACGTTACATTCTATTAACTTTCCTTGCAAGGGTACAATGGGAAGTTTTTTTTATATCAATAGCTTGTGATGACATCGCGCAAAAAGAAGCGAGTGGTGGATTTAGACGGAGATGATGAGTTCTAGAGATAGAGAATTAAAAACGGGGTCACTGACATTTAATAATTATAGTATTCATGTATTCTTTACAATAAAACTGCTTCTATTAGAGTGCTAAATTATACGTTATTAATTTTGTTCCTTATTTTAGCGTAATAAGATGATCAAAACAGAAATTAAAAGTATTGTGTTTTTTTTCTCAAAATTTATAAAACTCTATAGAAACATCAGAGGTGGGATCATTAGCCATTGAGGTAGTATATATAAAAAGAAAACTGCTTCTATTTGTAGAGTGCTAAATTATACGTTATTAATTTTGTTCCTTATTTTAGCGTAATAAGATGATCAAAACAGAAATTAAAAGTATTGTGTTTTTTTTCTCAAAATTTATAAAACTCTATAGAAAAAGTTTCATTATTAGCAAAAAGAACGATGTATGTATTCTCTATATAGTATATTGAGCTGTAATTGGAATATATATACGAGTGTAAAAAGTGTTAAGTCGATTACATCGCTGTCAATTTTGTTAATTTGTAGAACTGTAACAGTTGTGAGAAAGAAAAGATGTCTTTGACTGAATTACAAGACTTTGAAAAGGTTCTTTTTGACACCTTCGACCTTTTTAACAAAGCAGACTATCATTGTAATGAGTTTCTGAAATTGACAGAGAAATGTAAAAGCATGCGAAACTATATAATAAGTGTAAAGAAATCACATTGTTTCCATGAATAAGCATAATTTATGTATACTTTTAAAGTTTTTTTTTGTCAAATCTGTTAAATTACCTAAAATTTTGAAATGATAAATAAAACCATCAGCGTTAACTACATTTGTAAAAATCAACAAGATCGACATTCAATATTTTAATAAGTAAGCAATGTAACGTTTATGGTTTTAAAAGAATGAATGACTTTTTTTCTTAATCAATTATAAGTACATTAGTAAATGATGAGTCATTTATTCATTAATATTATTTACATCATATATATATGTAGTGATAGTACGTAAACACATGTGCCCCATTCATACTCTTTATAAGCAATTAAAATATACATCAAAGACGAACATTGTTATTTTAATTGTTAATCATATTCATCAATTTTATAATGTCCATAAGAATAGCTATGTACTCCAAATGGAGCTAACCACCAACGCTTATCATCAAAAGGCGACAAAGATATTTTATTGATGGATTTTAGATACAAGACATGGTTGTCACTAGCTATATTCTGCATCATATGTCGACATCGTTGTTGTTCAAAAAGACAATTCTTGTAATGGTAATGGTTCAATTCCTTGGTGATCACTGATTTAGCAATTCCTTTTGCCTTTTTTATCTGCGTTTCCTGCTCGTCGTGAATCAAAAATGAATACATTTTAGCTCGCAGTCCTACAAATTCTTTTACGGGATAACCTGCAAACATAATTATGAAAAAAAGTATCAGTTAAATGGTATAAGACTCATAAAAACAATCAACATTACACATCAATCATATTACTTACCTCCGGTTTCGTCTTTCATTTTCCCCACGACTTTCTTGTTGACCTCGCTATAAAGGAAATGATTTTTGGGATAGTTTGATGTATCAAATAACTCTCTGTGTCGAGACATGTCTTGATACAAATCTTCCGTTTGAAACTTGTAAAATAAGGAATCGGTGTCTGTCATCAGCAAAGTTGCTCTGCTACCATACTGTTTCTTGACATATCCATAATGAAATTGATACATGAATAGTTTCGACAAGTCTAAAACAGTCTCTCCGGTGTAAATGGGTTTATTTAATAGCAACTTAACCTTCTTGTTTTTTACACCGACCAAGTGTTTGTTAAAAATAGTGAAATTTTCAAAACTTGGCTTTGCTACCATTTTTCGTAATCCCTTTTGAGTGTTGACCAATTTAAAGTTCATCCTATTTCTTATATTTTCCATCGTTTTCCTGTAGAGAAATAAAATGTAAAGAAATGTAAAAAATAAAACAAATAGTAAACATTGCTTGAAGCATGACAATGCATTTTATTTGAATGGAATTTAGTTTTATTTACCCGAACACTATGTTGTTGTAGTCTTTGTACAGTTTCACTTCGAAGTCGCTCTTAGCTTGTCGTCTTTTGTTGGTATTGTATTCAATGTAGGGTTTGAGCCATGCTTCCTGTCTAAACCGAATTACTCTATGTAGTACAGTTAGCAGGGGTCCTTCCCTCAGGTAAAACTGCAGATTGCGATAGTGTAACACATATTTCTCTTTTTTGCGAAGAGTTGGTATTAATTTTTTGGAAACAACTCCTTTCGTTTTATTGTTTATTTTTTTAAATTCTTCTCTACAATATGGAGATAAATCATCACAATGCACTGTATTTGACTCTGGGGCTAATGGTAAGTCTGAATGAAGATCATGCAGGTTTTCTGGATAGCTCAAAGTGACTTCTAGAATATACCCAATGTCACTATTTTTCTGTATATTCATTACGTCGAGTTGAGATATTTCATTGTCAGTCAGCCAACCAAAGTCTCCAACAGGTAACGGCTCCAGCATGGCACCTCCGTAAAGATTGTTCATGTCGAAGTAGCCTAAATAATTTTTTGGCTTATTTTCATCAAAAGTTTCTGGTATGTATGGATTGTTGGCCTCAGCATGTCGAGTTGTCATCATGGCTACACCTCCACGTATACCCCTTTCAATCATTTGGTATTGATCAATGTCTGTCAGTAGTTCCAATTCTACCTTTGTCATTTTTAAACAGGCACTCCAACACATACCCGCTAATGTAAAGTATTGTGCTGGATCTAGATTAAAGCTCTCTATTGATACTTCTCTAAACCTTTCAAAAACATCAGCTAATAAAAGGACATCGCATAATAGATATAAATCATGATAGTCACCCATTGTTGTCATTTTCATTTCATTCCATACTAGCTGTGCATGTTCGTATTCTTTATCGGATATGTCAGTTTTGCTCAGTGAATTGTAAAATGATGATTTTGGAGGTAATTGTTTTGTCATAAATTTTGATGCATCGGTGACAAAAGAGTACGGGTAAACACCTTTTCTTAAGAGCAATGTCTTTTCTTTTTCCGTTTTGAAATGTCTGTTAAAGTATTTAAAATGTGTATCTCCACTTTATTTGAGGTTTTGAACTAAAGTATCTGTTATGAACTCAAAGAAGAAATTATTCTGACAGAAACTGGAACAATGTTTATTGACGTGCTTTTCTGGTGTGTTTTCTTCGGTAATTTTGAAATCGCAATCGACCTCACAAAGTTTAATGTGAAATAAAAAACAGTCAAGTTCAAAATCTTTCTATGAATTTTATTATCATTATGATCAACAACCAGCAGCTCAGTAATTAACTGATTTTATTAACTCATTATGCAACTTTAGATTATCCCACATATGAGTAAAGATCTAATGTAAATTAAAATTCTCCAATAAGCACACTAGCAATTTTTTTTAGATGCATCCCACAACAAGCAACCCTGGTGAGGCAAACAATGAGAACAATGAGTTCGATGGAAAGACACTAATTATTCTAGTTAGTAAGTACATAAATATCATATCATTTGATTTCATTTTAAGGCTTTAACATCATAGTTTAAAATATTATGTTCACATTAATATGTAAACCATATCAAATCATGCATTCTGTTTTACATATTATCTTTCTACTTTATTTCAGTATTTTCATTTGTATTCTCAGTCATCACTTTATCAATAATAATTTTTTGCTGCGCACGTGCATTCTATGTAAGGAAGGATATGGAAATAACGAACAGTATAGCCAGAGACTCAGGATTCTTGGGAAAATTAGCGATAAGCTGAGCATGAAAGATCAATTTGTAGAGGCACAAAAAATTCTAGATAGAATTCAGGCCATTCATGATGAGAAGGATGAATTATAGTTTTTTTTTCATTTCTTTTTTCACTTTCAGTCATCTCCCTCCTTCTCTGCTTCGGAAGTATTGGGTGTTTAATTTTGGGTGTATATATGCCACCTGTTCGAGGTGGTGCAATCAGAGAAGACTATCTACAGAGCATGATTGTTAAATTGTTTGTTTTATAATCTTTTACAGGTTTGGTCGGCATAATATCTGTTCTATGTCAACTTTTAGATAGACTTATAAGAACCTTAGAGAAAGCATTTCATTTTTTTAAAGACATTTATCAACATATTAAGCATCTTTGGCTGACAAAAAACAAAATTCAGAAAAGAAAGCTAATTTCAAAACATAAAATGATTAAAAAACGAGAATTACCACCTAGACAAAGGAGACCTCCCAAATTGTATGGCTTTGATGAATATGAATAATGTTCTATAATATAATTCAACTTTGAATATTGAATTTGTTTTGATGTATTAATGCAAAATAAAAAAAAATATTTGTGGTTCCGGTCACCCTACCTTCCCTATTTTTTACTGTCTACAATATTTTTATTTATTTTTCATTCAAAAATATTTGTTTCATAGTCAAAACTTAAGGTTTCTCTACCAATCTTGATAATAGTATATTTATATCTCACTGCATACTTAATTTTCACATGAAAAGCACTCCTAGGTTGTACTTAGAAAATTAAGTTGTACTATGGATGTCTATCTTAAATTACATATACCGGTAAAAAACAACATGCCAGTAAAGGTTTATTGATACTCTTTTTTATAATGAAAACTTCATTCTTTATTTGATCCCATTGACAATACAGTCTTATTTTTCCTTGTGTAACTAGTGCAATTTTTTGTGGGGTTAATTATGAAGGTTATTACATTTTTGAAATTGTTTCTGCTTAAAATTAAAACGAAGAACTTCATGGATGATGATTAATGTTTTTTTGTCTGATGTAATAGGCAATCATTTGATGTACAATTGTAATTGTTGATGTTTTGTTTTATATATGCATGGCATATGTGCCAAAAAGAATTTGGATTTTATATGCAATCATTTGATGTAAATTTATAATTGTTTATTACTTTTTTTTTTATTTTACATGAGATACATACATGTGCCAAAAAATGTTAGATCATACATGATAACAATCATTTGATGTAAATTGTAATTGTTATTGATTATTAAGTGTTGATCTTTCGTTTTTATAAATACGCATGAAGTATA